CCAAGCGAATGTTGACACTTGTTTCTATGGCAACAGCAGTTCTCGCGGGACTACGAAGGAGACGGGGAAAAAAAGACCGGTTTCCTAGCAACCACTAACTAGTTGTTGATTTTTTGCAGGCATTTTGTAAACTCTTTGTGATCTATGGAGCTTCTGAGTATTTGATTTTATCAGACAACATTATTAATGGACTTTTAATTGTATAATACTTAATACTTATAATAAGGTACTCAGAAAATTATCATCAGCATTATCTTCTTGCAAACAGACTCGCAGTGATGTTTATAGAAATTCTCTTTGAAAGACTGGAGGGATTCCTCTGCTCTTACTGTTTTAAACTGTGGATTAATTCTATCCTTATTATTATATTAAAATCGTCACTGATGATAAAGACTTAAGGATGATCATTAATATGCTGAACTATTAATCCCATTAACACTTGTTATCTTATTTATGAGTAAATATATTATCCGTTAATGTGGCTCTGTTAAGTGTGACCCTGCTTGGTCTGGTGATTCTGGGAAAAAAGCTCAAACTCTACCTGGTATTAATGAACTCTTCAGTGGGTTTATGGTTATCTGAGTGAAGTAGATCTATATTAAAGGAACAGTTCGGTCATATTCAGAGTAATTTTCATGTGAATGTGCTTTACTGGAGGCATCCATGTTTGTCAAAGAACACTACTGCCACCTACTGGTTTGTGACGTCACAGTGCGGTATCGGCTGTTGATCGAGTCCCAGTGCTGTATCTGGTGTTTGTCACAACGCGCTATTATCCAAGTCATCTTGGAAACATTCTTCTTCCAGATGTTGGCTACATACAGACATAGAGGAAACCTGTTGCTGCTGATGTTCATTGCGCTGCTCATAACCTCAACTTTCTCTCAATGAGCGGTTCTACTGTAGAGAGCCTGTAGGCCTGGTTTGGTCAGAACTGATTACCAAAATGATCCAGTCGCTATCCGTGGTTCTGAACTACATTGAATTAAATATTTAGGCCATGTACAGTTTGGAGTGTTTCTTTCTTAAAATCCTGATTGCTTTAGAATATTTAATAAATGAAGTTTTAATGCAATAAGTGGGGAGTTGAATCTGAGGGAGGTTCAGTTTTCTTTGCTTCTTTCTTTCTCTGAACGTTTCTGGGTGGTTTACCATCAGGAACTTTTTACTCTCATCTAAACCTTCGTCCTGCGACTTCATTTCATTTCAAAGCCTTTTTCATAAATATAAATCACAAGCTGAATCATAGAGTTTACAATTTATTATAAAGTGTTGTTGGAGCTATTTATTCTTTATTTCTTTATCCATTTGAATTGTGTTAATTCCTAAACTTATATATTTTTTGTATTATTTACAGACTTAATTTATAGGTTAATTGTTGCATTTTTGTGCATCTATTTTTTGTTGTTTTATTATTTTTCTTTATTTTATGTAAAACAGGAAGAAATGTGGGCGGTCCACTTTCTATAATTGTAGGAGCCTGGTAAGGACCAGCAGGCATTTGGGTTAGGGGCCTATGGGTTTTTACCAGTGCAAGAGAGGTAACAGGGCAAGGAAAGTTTGAACTCTGTAATGTGACAAAATATAGGAAATAAATCAACTAAACATCTACCAGTTTGGACTTCCACTTCTTTTGCCTGCGTCAAGAAAACGTGACCCCAGTGCCTATAGTGGCTTATTGGAACTTAATTGGATGTTTGGTTTGACAAACAATTGCCACTACAATCAAGTAAAAACCCACCTGTGGATCAAGTAAAAACACCCTGTGGAACAAGTAAGGAACCAGCCCATGGACTAAAAGGAATACCTCATCAATCAACATGCTGGATTTATGGATCTCAAGGATTCCCTTCAAACAAAAGGTTTTGGATCATCTTTGATTAAATCAAGCGACTCGATGCGTCAGACTTGGATGGACACGTCACTCATTCATCAAGCTGGTATGTGACAATATTGTTCAAGCTATAAAGGAAAATAGTGAAACTACTGGAGTTTAAGACATTATTTCACTCCAAAGACTGATGAGATGAGTCTGATGTGACAAATTGATGCGTAATTGGATCAAGCCGTGAGCCGACGCCCATCATGGAAATGTTTGTTCACAAGAATCAATCTCTTTAAACAAAGAGATACGTTTGTGCTTTTCCTTGTGGATTATTCGTGGACTATGACGCTTTAAATGTTTGAAATGATTCAAAGAATCTGCAAAAATGTCTGATGTAAAGAGCAAAGAGGATGACACCCAGACGTCACAAAACAAAAGAACCATCAAATTTACACAAAAGGGTTTGGAGTTTTATATAAAAACATGTCAAGAAAAACGAAGTTTAAAGTGTAAACAAGCTTCAAAATGTATGGAGAAAATCTCTGCATTAATGAGCTCACAAGAAAATGTTAAGAAAGTGGCTTCTGACTTTGCAAAGTTTATTAAATGCTATCAAGAAGCAACTGATTTACACGAATCTCTTTTAGGTTTGCCGTTGCCAGAAGAAGAAGTAAAAAGACAAACTGTGTATTTTCAGTCCAAGGTGACGACTTTCTCTGATTTTGTGGACAATGTAAAGGTTTGGTTGACAGAAGCAGGAGATCCATATATGGAACAGAAAAACTATGTTGATGATCAGGTTGTTGAAGATCCTGATGAAATAAATCCTGAAGACAGTGTTTCTAATATTACAAGCATAAAGCCACGTTCAAAAACATCTTCACAGCAGTCTCGGGCTTCATCCACCTCTTCTGCACGCATTAAAGCTGCGGCTGAAAAGGCAGCGCTGATGGAGAGACTCGCCGCGTTGGACAGAAAACATCTGATCGAAGCTCAAGAGGAAAACCTGAGAAAAGAAAAGGAAAAGTTAGACCTGGAAACAGAGTTGGCAGCAACTAACGCAAAACTTAATGTATTAAAAATAAATTCAGTTGCTAGTTCTAAACAATCTGATGGGATGAACTCTTATTTTGAAAGAGCCCAAGGAAAGCACACGCCCCTGCTAAATCCTCTCGCTGATGAGTTTGTTCTGAAAGAAAAAGAAAAGTCTTCATCCAACTTCCCTGTTGTCAGACTTAAACAAGGAGAGAGACAACTTCAAATGGATCAGATGAGTTAAAGTTGATTCTTCAACTCAAGCAACAGAGCAGACGCAACTTCAATCTCCTCCTTTGACTGAGAACTGTCAGAATGATATTGTAAACATCATGCAAAGACAAAATGACATTGCAGCCTTACTAGTAAAACAAAACTTATCGTCTGTTCTCCCATCCAGAAACATCCCTGTGTTTGATGGGGACCCCCTACAGTACAGATCATTTATGAATGCCTTTGAGAACGGAGTGGAGGCTAAAACTGACAACTGCAGCGACTGTTTGCACTTCCTAGAGCAGTTCACCAGGGGGCAGCCTAAAGATCTCGTGCATAGTTGTCAACACTTAGCTTCTGAGGAAGGTTATTCCAAAGCCAAATATCTTCTTGAAGAACATTTTGGAAATGAAAATAAAATAACTTCTGCGTATATGGAGAAGATTATGAGTTGGACACCAATAAAAGGGGATGATGTGAAAAGTCTACAATCATTCTCTCTTTTTCTTCAAGGTTGTTCAAATCTGACACAACAAATTGTTTACATGAAGGAGTTGGATTTACCTTCAAATATGAGAACAATTGTCCTGAAACTTCCATATAAACTGAGGGAAAAATGGAGAGTTACTGCTTATGAGCTACAGGAGCAAACTGGTCACCGAGCGTTGTTTACTGATCTGGTTGCTTTCATAACAAAGGAAGTAAAAGTAGCATCAGATCCAGTGTTTGGCAATATCCAAGACCCACCAACAGGGAACAACTCCAAAGTTCCAAGTTACAGCAAGCAAAGAAAAAAGGGAAGCAGTTTTGCCACTAATGCCAGCACAATTCCAGAAGCCAGAACTCACTCAACTGAAAACAGGACCAAGTCTACTGTTCTTCACAGCTGCTTGTTTTGTTTACAAAGAAATCATCTACTGGAAAACTGTGTGCAGTTTAAAGCTAAAATGCATCGGGACAAGTTGACTTTCATTAAACAAAAGGGGATTTGTTTCAGTTGTCTGAAAGTTGGTCACACAAGCAAAGACTGCAGGAGTCGTTTGGATTGCAATGTGTGTCACCAAAAGCATCCGGGGGTTCTTCACATAGAGCAAAAGGAGCCAGGAGCCTCTTCAGAACAAATCCAACAGACAACAAGGTCTCATGTCAACTTCTCAACTGCAACCACCCAGACGTGTGGGCATATTGGGGCTGGTCATGATGATAATGCTGTTTTTTCTATTGTTGCAGTTAAAGTTAAAAGTCAAAAGAGCAACAAAGTTGTGCAAACTTATGCATTTCTTGATCCAGGAAGTTCAGGTACGTTCTGTACAGAAACTCTGGCAAAAAGTCTGAACATAAAGGGCAAAAGAACAAATATTATGCTGAGAACAATGAGTCAAAATAAGATTGTTAATGTACAAGTTTTGTCTGGTTTGGAAATCTCTGAATTGGAAACAAATGATTTCATAGAGCTACCAGATGTTTTGACTCAAAGTACCATGCCAGTTTCTACATTGAATATTCCCCAGCAAAAGGACATTGATCAGTGGCCTCATCTTAAACCTGTTAAGCTTCATAGCATCAATGCAGATGTGGAACTACTGATAGGAACTGATGCTTCAAATGTTTTAGAGCCCTGGGAGGTGATCAACAGTGTAGATGGTGGGCCTTATGCTGTAAAAACTAGAGTTGGCTGGGTCATAAATGGTCCCCTGCACACTAGAAGCCACAGCAAAAATAGAAATGTTTGCACTGCTGTGACAGCCAACAGGATCTCTGTTGAGCATCTTGAAGAAATGCTGATCAAACAGTACAATCATGATTTTAACGAAAGATCATCAGAGGAGAAAACTGAAATGTCTAGAGAGGATTTGCATTTCATGAACATTGTCAATAACTCTACAAAACTTATTAAAGGTCATTATAATATTGACTTACCTTTCAGGAGTGAAAGCCCCAGCTTTCCAAATAACATCTGTGTTGCAGAGCAGCGCCTCCAGAGCCTCAGAAGGAGATTTGAAAAGGATGCTGAGTACAAGGAGGAATACACTGCATGTGTAAACAACATGCTGCAGCAAGGACATGCTGAGGCTGTACCAGCAGAGGACCTACAGAAAGGTAATGGACAACTGTGGTACATTCCTCATCATGGAGTGCATCATCCCACAAAAGGAAAGTTGAGAGTTGTATTTGATTGTGGATCAACCTATAAAGGAGCATCACTGAACAGTCAGCTTTTACAAGGACCTGACCTCAGAAACTCTCTGGTTGGAGTTCTCATTAGATTTAGAAAAGAGCCTGTTGCACTAATGGCTGACATTAATGCCATGTTTCACCAAGTTTATGTCTCTGAAAAACACGTCAACTTCCTCCGTTTCCTGTGGTGGCATCATGGTGACACATCAAAACCTGCACAGGAGTTCAGGATGTTGGTTCATTTGTTTGGAGCAGTGTCTTCACCCAGCTGTGCAAATTATGCTCTGCAAAGAACTGCTGATGATAACGCACAACAGTTTCCAGCTGAAGTGGTTGATACTATCAAAAATAACTTTTATGTGGATGACTGTTTAAAATCTGTTCCCACAGAAGAAGATGCAATTCACATGGTGAAGAGGCTGACGGACCTCTGCTCTAAGGGAGGATTCGTGCTCTCAAAATGGGTAAGCAACAGTCGCACAGTGCTCATGTCCATTCCAGAGGAAAGGAAAGCAAAAGAAATGAAGAATCTGGATTTGGACACAGATGAACTTCCGGTCGAGAGAGTACTGGGTTTACAGTGGAGCATCGAAACAGATGAGTTCAAGTTCAGAACCTCTGTGCAGGACCGCCCACAGACCAGAAGGGGCATTTTGTCTGTGGTTAGTTCACTATATGATCCCTTGGGAATCCTAGCTCCCTTCAGTATGCCAGCTAAACTGCTGCTACAAGAACTTTGTCGACAAAACTTGAAGTGGGATGAAGTTATTCCCCATTCTCTTTGTAGGAAGTGGCTCGACTGGCTGGAGGACCTCCAGCTGATCTCCAGTTTTAAGGTGGATCGTTGCATCAAACCAAGCTGCATCAGGAAACCAGACAAAGCACAACTTCATCATTTCTCTGACGCAAGTCAAGACGGCTATGGAACAGTGTCATATTTAAAACTGGAAAAGAATAACATCTCACATGTTGCTTTCATTCTAGGAAAAGCAAGAGTTGCTCCTATGAAGCAAACAACAATCCCCAGGTTGGAACTGACCGCTGCTGTTCTTGCTGTCCGAGTCAATAAACTGCTGCAAAAGGAGCTGCAAATACAATTGGAAAAACCTGTTTTCTGGACTGATAGTACAACAGTACTAAAATATATCTCCAGTGAAACCAGAAGATTTCACACCTTTGTTGCAAACAGGATCTCTGTCATCCGAGAAGCAACAGATGTGAATCAGTGGAGATATGTTTCCTCCAAGGAAAATCCTGCAGATGATGCATCCAGAGGCATGAGAGCTGAGGAGTTCATTAAATGCAGGAGATGGATAAATGGGCCTGAATTTCTCCACAGATCAGAAGAGGAATGGCCTAAACTGGATGTGGATCACCATGCAATTCCTGCAGATGACCCAGAGGTCAAAAGGGACCTAGCCGTGAGTGTTCTTGTAAAGGAGTCACAAAATCCTACAAGCTATCTGATTCATTATTTTTCATCTTGGACAAAGCTTAAAACCTCTGTTGCCTGGTTTTTAAAGCTGAAAAACATTCTGATGCTGTTGCAACAGAAAAGGAAGGAGTTTGCTGCTGCAGACCTAAATAAAAATGAACCAGAAAAGCAAAACAAAGCCCTAGACAAGCAGATAGACAGATTCAAGACCACTCTGAAGAAAGAAAATCTGACTCCTGAAGACTTGGCCAAGGCAGAACTAGCCATTATTCAGTTTGCACAACAACAGAAATTTACAACTGAACTGGCTTTAATCACCAGTGGCCTTAAAGCAGTCTCTAAGAGAAGTTCTTTATACAAACTCGACCCAGTATTGGATGCTGGAGTCCTCAGAGTGGGTGGCAGGTTGAATAAATCAGCCATGCCTGTCGAAACAAAGCATCCTGCAATTTTGACAAAGGATATGCATGTGTCTACACTGATTTTACGCCATATTCATCAACAGTTGGGACATGCAGGAAGAGCTCATATGCTGTCAAGATTAAGACAAAAATACTGGATAATAAATGCTAATTCAGCTGCCAGAAAAATCATTTCTCACTGTGTTGTTTGCAGGTGTAACAGAGGAAAGTTTATTGAACAAAAGATGGCAGATCTGCCAGAAGAAAGAGTCCTGCCAGCCACCGCTCCTTTTACAAATGTTGGAGTGGATTACTTTGGTCCTGTAAGTGTTAAAAGAGGACGAAGCCTCCTGAAAAGGTATGGAGTTCTGTTCACTTGTTTCACCAGCCGTGCAGTGCATCTGGAAATGGCCTACACCCTCGATACAGATTCCTGTATAAATGCAGTCCGCAGGTTCATCTGTAGAAGAGGCCCAGTTTCCACCATCAGATCTGACAATGCCACAAATTTTGTTGGTGCAAATCGAGAGCTGAAAGAGAGTTTAGCTGAACTGAATCATGCTAAAATTCAAAATGCTTTTGTGCAGGATGGAATTAAATGGAACTTTAACATCCCAGCAGCATCTCACCAAGGTGGAGTTTGGGAGCGTCTGATTCGTTCCATAAGAAGTATTTTGGTTTCAGTTCTTAAAGAGCAAGTTTTGGATGATGAAGGGCTTCAAACAATTTTTTGTGAAGTTGAAGCCATATTAAACGACAGACCCATCACTAAAGTTTCCGATGACTCAAATGATCTTGAGGCACTAACATCCAACCATTTGTTGTTGTTAAAAACCAAACCAGTTTTGCCACCAGGATTGTTCAATCAAAAGGATCTTTTTGTCAGGAAAAGGTGGAAACAGGTGCAATACATGGCAGAGCTGTTCTGGAAAAGATGGCTTTCTGAGTACTTACCTCTGATGCAGGAAAGACAAAAATGGACAAGAACTAAACGATGTCTCACTCCTGGAGATGTTGTCTTAATTGCAGACTCTACAGCTCCAAGAGGAACATGGATGATGGCCAAGGTCTTGAGCGTAAACCAGGATGCAAAAGGCTTGGTCCGCTCTGTGCGATTACAAACAAAGACCAGTGTTCTCGAAAGACCCGTGACCAAACTTGTTTTGCTACTGGAAGCATCAACCTGAAGAATTAAGGACATGTTTGAGGGAATAGCTCCTTTTTCTTCATTTGTAATTGTGACAGTATTCACAATTAGGGGCCGGAGTGTTGGAGCTATTTATTCTTTAGTTCTTTATCCATTTGAATTGTGTTAATTCCTAAACTTATATATTTTTTGTATTATTTACAGACTTAATTTATAGGTTAATTGTTGCATTTTTGTGCATCTATTTTTTGTTGTTTTATTATTTTTCTTTATTTTATGTAAAACAGGAAGAAATGTGGGCGGTCCACTTTCTATAATTGTAGGAGCCTGGTAAGGACCAGCAGGCATTTGGGTTAGGGGCCTATGGGTTTTTACCAGTGCAAGAGAGGTAACAGGGCAAGGAAAGTTTGAACTCTGTAATGTGACAAAATATAGGAAATAAATCAACTAAACATCTACAAGTTTGGACTTCCACTTCTTTTGCCTGCGTCAAGAAAACGTGACCCCAGTGCCTATAGTGGCTTATTGGAACTTAATTGGATGTTTGGTTTGACAAACAATTGCCACTACAAGTGTAAAACATGTATGAGATGTTTGAGTCTGGACTCCAGAAATTACATCAAAACAAAAATAAGAAGAAAATAATTGCATGGTCTCTTCAAGAACATATTGATTATTTTTTAAAACAGTCATCCCATGGTTCCTTATATACCAACTCAAATTAAGGGTAAATACACTTAATTTAAGACATTTTTAAATATTTTTGCAGATAGAACATTTATCAGCTTGACTCAATATGTTTTTATATCTGAAATAGTCCAATTATAGAAATGCTGACCAGTAACAATAGGAACATGGAGACATCCAGAATGTTCATTCTGGATGTGAAGAACATCACTTTGTTTGAAACGGTCATTTTTTTCAGATATCAGGAATTAAAACTAATAAATATCAAAACGGCTTACCGTAGACTGTAACCAAGATAATATTATGGGTATATTCCTTCAATGGTAGGTTAGGTATTTAGGTGACATCATCTGGCAGCAGGTGAAGATGAATAAAAACGCTGTTCCAGAACATGTCCTGGGTTCTGAGTTTGATTCCGTCTTCCAATATAAGTGGCTGTTTGCAGCTGCTTCAGATGTTATCATCCTAATAAATGGTCATTATTAGCGGTTATCAGTCCCATAGAATGGCTTCAGATTGGTCCTGTAGGCTCAGCAGTTTTTCACCGAGTGAATCCTAACCCCAAGTTATTGATTTATGTGTAATCTGAAAGTCATTTTAGACATTCAGTACTGTAAAAATAAAATGATCCGCATGTCGCTCAAAACAACTAAACCAGTTATCCAGAGTTGTAGAACCGTCTTCCTATAAATATTTAATTCTCAGTGAATTAATGCCAATCATTCTTTAATAAGATCCTCGTCAAACGAACATCTAATGTTTGCTTTTACAATCTGATGTGTCTAACAGACGACCTCTGACTTCAGGTTTAGAAAACGTCAGTTTTCAGTAAACCTGCTTAATGAAACAGACCCTGGCTGTGCTGCTGCCATCAACACCTTTGTTTCTAGATGTTGGAGCTTGGCCTGTTTTTCCAGTGTAGTCCTGTTTCTCTGACTGTGACTAACTGGATGTGCTCTCTTCATCCTCTGACATGGGAGCTGGCTCGGAGCTCGTCTGCCTGGCTGTGTGTTTCCTGGACGGGGCCGCCTGTGGAGCTGGTTGACAGTTGCCTTTTGTATCTATGCTTCTTTTTCTATGTCTGCTTCTGTCTCCTTGAACCCCAGTGGGCCTCAGCAGATGGCCGCTCACACTGAGCCTGGTTCTGCTGGAGGTTTCTTCCTATTCAAAGGGAGTTTTTCCTCCCCACTGTCGCTACAAGCATACTTAGTGTGAGGGATTGCTGAAGAGTCAATAAGTTGATGCAATCAGCTGGTTTTCCTGAAGCTCATGTCACACCATGACAATAAAACCAGCGTATGCCTGATGTACGAAAAATCTGGCAAAAATGCTGGCATACATTGGGTAAGTTATGAGCATGTTAATTTTCCACATGCTCAAAATTTCCCGCCGTATGCCAGCGTCTGCCATCCGTGCGCCATCAGTTCCAGGTCAGTTATCAGATGGTTGACATCTGTTCAGTCTCAGTTCCTCATCAGTCGTGGCGTCTAGCTTTTCCTAAACCTCTGAGTAACTTCTGCGTAACTTATCCAGAACTTCTCTCCAAGCACATCAAGGTATCTGACGTGTTCCAGACGAGCGCTGAACGTGTTTCTAACTTCCAGCTACTGTATAATGGCGTATTGGCAGCGTTTTGGTATAAAGGGGGTTCACAGGAGGAAACCGTCAGTTCTCCTCCAGACTTCATCCCCATCATAGGGTGAGCCAGAAGGTGAGTGTGATGGATCCTCCCTGCGTTCACGCCCACCACCAACACACTTCCTAGCAGACATGACGCTCAATCTGCTGCCAACAAAAACCGTCTTTTTATTCTTTTCTTTTTCTGCAGGTAGTAAACAGCAGCTAGCTTAATACCGCGATCAAAGAGTCGTTATGAATACTCAATGAAAACGCCAAGAATAGAAAAAATCTATAGAGTTCAGCGTATGCCAGCATTTCTGGGACATCAGGCAGACGCTGGAGAAATCAGCAAGGTGTGACAGGACTTTAGATAGAAAACACTGAACCAATCTGACCGTTTGATCTAGTTGAATTGTTTCTGTAAAGGTCTTTGAGATGACATGTGAAGTGGCACTATAAAAATAAACTGAATTGAATTGGAACCACAGCATATAAATAAAAAAAAAAAACACACACCATCAATTCCTGAACACTTTTATTTGATTTATTTCTTGTCTGACTTTCATCTCCTTCAGTCTGAGTTTTTTCACATTCAAGTACAGAGAGCCTTCGTGTCGCAGCGCGTCTGAGAGGGAGGAGGCTTCGATAAGGCAAGAGGGCCGCAACCTGCAATGTAGAACTTCAACTGCTAGAGTACACCTGGAGTCCATCCATTGAGCTAATATAAGGGTAACAGATGGATGTTCTATACGTCTATCGCTAGTCTGAAAAGATGACCCCCCTCCCCCCACTATGTTAGAGCCCCAAACCGAGATAACAGGAAACTAAGATGTCCTCCATCTAAAGCTGCTCCAAAGTGTTGAAATGGTTTCTGGAGTGGAAAGATCTGAACTCCAGGAACGTTTAAGGCTCATCAACAAGTTGGTTTTTTCCCAGAAAGCAGCGTTTTTTCCCCCTCCTGCGCTGCGAGAAGACGTTACGGCTTCGTTTAACTCCTCCACCTGAAAGAACCATGAAGGGAAACAGAAAACACCCAGAAGCTACAGTTTTCCACCCGTTTCCACCTTTACCTCATATGTGCAGCAGCTGTGCCTCCGAGTCTTTGGTCCCTCTTCCAACACAAACACACCAAAAGATGACCCCCCCCCAAACAAAAAAAGAACAGTTTGGATAAACAGTACCAAAACAGATGGCACAGGAAGAACAAACACTGGTAACCATGGCAACAACCCCATCAAGCTCCGATCAGATCCTCCACTCATCGGCGGCAGGTTCAGAACAGAGCTGATCTAGAGGAGACAGATCTATGTCGAGCTGATCTAGATAGATCTCATAGAACAGTTTGGTCTAGATCAATTATAGAAAAAATGATCTACATAGAGCAGATCTAGACAGAACCAATCTACAGAGAATTGATCCAGGTAGAAGAGAACTATATAGAGCTGCTCTACATAGAACGGCTCCTTGCTCCCAGCTAAAAAAATAAACCAACCAATAGAACTAAAATCCCTTCTTATATTGATATATATCTCTATATATTTATAGATTTATCTAGTATAGATTAGACATTTTTGGGGTTCCTGCTAAAGTACCTTGGGTCCGTCTTATTCTCCATGCTGTCTCAGTGGGTTACAGCTCCGTCACCTCATGGACAATAATCTACAATAATCTCAGGTACATTCAGGACTTGTGGTAAAAAGCCTCCAATATTCTTTACAAGTCAATAAAAATACAGAGAATCAAAAATACGGGGGTGGAAGCAGTCCACCGTCCTGCAGAGGCTGCTCCCCCAAACCTCTACATCCTCATTGGGGACGAACTTCGGGCTCCGGCCTCTTTTGGGCCCGCTCCGTCTGGATGAAGGCGCCCTGACCCAGCGCCGTGGAGTACGCTCTGCTGTTGGGGTTGGCTGGGAAACCCCGGGCCGGATGTGTGCTGGAGCCGGCGTGTTTCTGGGGCGGGGCCTGAGGGGCGGGGGCCGGCTGGTAGTCATCCAGGTTGTCGTAGTGGGACTGCACGGCTTTGGAGCAGAGTTTCTCGTAGGCGTAGTCCCGGTCCAGGTCTTTGCTCTGGGTGAAGTGCTGTTCTTCACGGGCGCCGTGGGTCCGCTCCGGGTTAGCGCGCTCCTCCGTACTGTGGTAGCCAGCGGGGGGTTTCTTGTTGTGGTGGTCGGACTCGGGGCAGTTGTACCGCGGTTGTAAGGACTTCTTGTTGGGGTGTTTGGACCTGCTGCCGTCTCCGCCCAGCTTGTCCTCCCCGCCCTCGTATCTCGGATCGTGGCGGCTGCTCTCTTGCTGTTGGGAGACGTTATGGCCCAAAGGAAGCGAGTGAGACGATGGACATT